AAAACTGGGCGCCACAGTGAACCGGCTCACAGCCCGGTAATGGACCGAAGCCCGTGCCAATGAAATCCTCAATGATGCAGGGCATTGTTATGCGATCCGTGCAAGTGCTAAAGAATTGACGCGACTGACGATGGCGGCGTTGCTGTAGATGCCTGAGGCGCAAGTCAAGAGCACTGCGCAAAAAGCCCAACAGATCGAAGCCACCCGAGGGACTGGCGCCACCCACTGGCCTTGGACGCCTTGAGACGCCGGGGTGTGATGTAGTCCCGACATTGTTGCCTTCGTCCCCTTTAGAGAAGAAGAAGAAATTGTCATCGTCACCCGAGCCCTCGACATCGTCGTTAGCCGGTGAAGGCGAGGCTGACGATGACGGCGTTTCACTCGCAGCCGTGCTCTCGTCGACAGCTGGCATTATGCTTGAACGTAAAGGCATGGATGTTGTCATTGCCGCCGTGCTGCTACTTCCACCGGCAGCAGCACCCGTAGCTGCTGTTGTGCTGCTGCCGTTGCTCGACATTGGCGCCCCAGTTGTGGAGCAATTGACCAAATTGCTCAGAACTTGCGCTACATTCGGCTTCATGGTAGTTGTCGCCGCGCTGGTTGGTGTTGTGGCGCTGGTAGCTGTCGTTGCTGTCGTCGTTGTCATGGATGGGGATGGCGTCTGTGCAGCGGTTGATGCGGTGCTAGCCATGCTTGTCGCCATGTTCATTATGGACATGAACGATCCACCGCTGCCGCCGCCACCAATGCGAAAGGATTGCTCATCGCAGGGCTGATATATTATCGAGCACATGTCGGACTCTTGGCGCACGCAGATCCGATAATGCTGATTGGCCAAATGCCTTCCATTGTCGGCAAAATTGAAAGTCTGCATAATACCTTCTGCGCCAGTATGATATTGTAAACATCCAGCCGGAGCCCGCTGACTGAAGGGTATTTGAGCGACCCGAATCTCCCACAATCGAATGGGCAGAAAACGTGAGCTCACATTTATACTGATCTCGATGAGCTGCTCGATGTCGCTGGCATTGACTTCGCTAATGTTGGCATTGGCTGGCTGTCGAAGAGTTCCATACAGCGTTGATTGACGCGGCAAGGATCGGGCTCCCACATCGTAGTACACTAACGATAATATATTCGGGATTAGATGTAGAGAGATTATATTAATGAAGTGCAACTGCTCTACTCACAGTGTTGTCCATTGTTTTGGCCGCAAAGCGTTAGGGGTCCACTGGGGCCGCCGCTGATATTGAAGACATCTCCATCGCAGACGCCCGTGCGTCGATTGGGCTGGCCCAGCGAGAAATGATAGAGATCAAGGCGTAGCTGACTAATCTCTGGGCTCATGATTTTTACCTTCAGCTGGCAGCCAGTGAAGTTGCTTGGCATGAAACTGGGAAACTCTGGCGATACAATATACGTCAGGTTGTTGTTGATAGTTCCATTGCACGTGGCCACAAACACGCAGCAGACGCCAAAGCTCATCGCACAATCGCCCTTGGCCTGTCCACCCTTCTGTCGGCATTCGTACGCATTTAAGCAATTACCCAAACGTCGTCCATCACTCGACAGGCACTCCCCATCCACCGGCACGGCAAACAAATGAATAACTGAAAGACAATGATTATTAATGTTATTAGAAGATCATAGAAACTAATTTTTGGTTTGTTTTATATTTTTAGAATATAGTAAAGTAAGGAACTATTAAATGTATAACCGATTCGAATATATAACACTACCAGTCCTCTAGGTATTTCTGCTAAGATCAGTCACTTGAATTTCTGTACAGAAATACTCGTACAGCTGAAATATTATAATAGTTCCAGCAGGAATATTTTGTTTGTCAACTCTCAAAGTCTCTTCGATTGACCTTGACCCACTTACCTTTGGGGTCGCGTTTGCCGTTGCTCTTGAGCTGCTGATATATCTCATTATCGCTCCAATTGACAGTGGAAGAGAGATTGTTGCCACGAGCGTATGATTGCTGCAGCAATAATTGTTCCTGCTCTGCGCGCTCCGCTGCGTCCCGATCGTCGATTAGCTCCAGTTCCATTTGCAGCTGTTGGTCAGCAGTTTGCGCTTGCAAATCGGCGCTCCAGATATCATAATGCTGCATGGGTGGCCAGACGGATTCATTTGCTGCCGTAGCTGCCTCCAAAGTGGGGGCTGCCTGGCACAGCTGAGCGTTCAGCCAAATTGTGAGTATGCCAACAAAGAGCAGCAACAGCAGGTTACAACAACCAATAACACCGTCAACAGCAGCTGCAGCTTCACAACAACTGGCTCTTGCAGCAAGCACAATAACTTTCTTTTTGGTCGAACATCGTAATAAGCTAACAATTTTATTGCACTTGCTTAGCCGCAGCAGGGGCAGAACGTTAATGATTAGCCATGCCATGGCCAATGCCAATGCCAATGTCAATGCTAACACTAATGCTAATGCTATTTGGCTCACAGCTTCAGCTCCTTTAACTGCGTTTCGCTTTTGCGCGTGCGCTCCGTTGCGTTGCTCAACGTTAAGTGTGCAGCCGGCTCCAGCTTCGGCTCTGGTCACCAGCTCCCAGCTGTCCAAGCCAGCTTTGATGCTGTGTGCTGCATTGTTGGCCCGATCAGCTTTTCTCTCTCTCTCTCTCTCTCTCTGAGTTCTCGTTTTCGGTTGCCATCGAGCTGTTGCTTTAATCTGTGCTAATTTCTATTTCCTATGCTCGTCCATGTGCTCCATATTTATTTATTTATTTTTTTTTTTTTTTTGCATTTCTATATTGGCGCATTCATTGAATGCATTTCATCTCTTTTCCACAGACTCACAAAGCTCTGCTCAATGATTGCAAATTGAGCTTGGGTATCCCGTGAATTGGCTGAAATGGAATGGTTTCATTTTTGCATTTGTGCTGCATCATGGCAATCGGTGTTGTTGTTGTTGTTGTCAGTTTGGTGTTTTGGTGAATGAATGCGATCAGAAGCAAACATAATCAGGTTAAACAGCTCTTTGAGTAACTTACACTTGCAGCAGCCACAACAACAACAACAACAACGATGACGACAAAAACAGTGAGCAACACAAACAAGTCTCTAAGCAGCGAAAAGCTAAACATAGAAAGCGGACGAGTTCAGTGAGGAAAATCTGAATGTGAATAGTTAGTTGATTAATTTAGAACATAATTAATATAATTATCGTCAGATCTAATTCACTTTTTCCTCCAGATTCTCATAGTTTAATGCTTCATTATTATAGCAGAGAGCAAGCTTAGAAGCTCTGACTTTAGAGACTCCCATTGTAATCCAAATACTAACAGGATACAAAAATAACAATAGATCATTTTTAATTTGTTTGCTACCTTTTGCCATTTGTGATCTGATATATAGCTGTCATACTTACGGCGTGTACAAAAATTCTGATTTCCGAATACAAAATTTAAAAAAATAAAGTAAAATAAAAGTAAGTCAAGAAAACTTGAAATATTTTAAAAACTCAAACTTTAACTGCGTTTCGCTTTTGCGCGTGCGCTCCGTTGCGTTGCTCAACGTTAAGTGTGCAGCCGGCTCCAGCTTCGGCTCTGGTCACCAGCTCCCAGCTGTCCAAGCCAGCTTTGATGCTGTGTGCTGCATTGTTGGCCCGATCAGCTTTTCTCTCTCTCTCTCTCTCTCTCTGAGTTCTCGTTTTCGGTTGCCATCGAGCTGTTGCTTTAATCTGTGCTAATTTCTATTTCCTATGCTCGTCCATGTGCTCCATATTTATTTATTTATTTTTTTTTTTTTTTTGCATTTCTATATTGGCGCATTCATTGAATGCATTTCATCTCTTTTCCACAGACTCACAAAGCTCTGCTCAATGATTGCAAATTGAGCTTGGGTATCCCGTGAATTGGCTGAAATGGAATGGTTTCATTTTTGCATTTGTGCTGCATCATGGCAATCGGTGTTGTTGTTGTTGTTGTCAGTTTGGTGTTTTGGTGAATGAATGCGATCAGAAGCAAACATAATCAGGTTAAACAGCTCTTTGAGTAACTTACACTTGCAGCAGCCACAACAACAACAACAACAACGATGACGACAAAAACAGTGAGCAACACAAACAAGTCTCTAAGCAGCGAAAAGCTAAACATAGAAAGCGGACGAGTTCAGTGAGGAAAATCTGAATGTGAATAGTTAGTTGATTAATTTAGAACATAATTAATATAATTATCGTCAGATCTAATTCACTTTTTCCTCCAGATTCTCATAGTTTAATGCTTCATTATTATAGCAGAGAGCAAGCTTAGAAGCTCTGACTTTAGAGACTCCCATTGTAATCCAAATACTAACAGGATACAAAAATAACAATAGATCATTTTTAATTTGTTTGCTACCTTTTGCCATTTGTGATCTGATATATAGCTGTCATACTTACGGCGTGTACAAAAATTCTGATTTCCGAATACAAAATTTAAAAAAATAAAGTAAAATAAAAGTAAGTCAAGAAAACTTGAAATATTTTAAAAACTCAAATATTCTCAGATTTTGATCAAAAAACATGTTTTTTAGTAGATTCTTATGAAGCTTCTGATTTTCTACTCTGACAACTTAGGTGTGAAACACTCACAAGCACAATATGGGGATATTCTATTATCTAAACTTCTTCTTCAGCCATGTAAATTTATACTTATTATTATAATTACTGTACTTGTGCAACTATGCCTTAGAAATTCTAAATTATATCGTATACATTTTCTCAAGTAAAGATTTAGCAACAATTCCTACACAAATCAAATATATCATCTAAAGCCAATTGAGTTACGTCAAAATAGCAAAAACACAAACTGTTGTATATGTGGAAATATTGTTTGATTTGTATTTATGCATTTGCCCGTGCGGTAGTTTTGTAAGCTACTGCTCGACGATTTGTTAATTTAAGATAGGATTGATTTGTAACATTAGCAATGTATGTAAAATATAAAAAAATAACAGTCAAGGATTATTAAAATAGGTATTTTGAGTATTTGTTTTTCCTTTCATTTTCATTTTCATTTTGTTTTTGTTTTTGTTTTAAATAAAGCGCTTAAACCTAAGTCATAGTTTGAACTTTGTACAATGTGTTTTTAGTAAGTGTGTTAGCCAAGTTTTGTTGAATGTATCGTCTGATATTTTCGAATGCCTATAGTGGCTCTAGGGCGGTGGGACCGTGTGGACTGCCTTCCAGCTTGCGCCAGACAACGTTGCACATTTCGCGCACTAGCGCCTTTTCGCCATCGTCCATCTGATCGAGGGCACAGCCCGCTAGATTGCCCAAACGATCACGTTCCAGCTGCTCTCTCACTTCCAAGACCTGCAGGGCCCGGACCACAGCCTCCGGCCGGCCCGAAATGGGCTCGGGCAAGGCGGCAGCAGCCGCTGCAGCTGCAGCCACAGCTTGACTGATGTCCTGTTGCGTGTGCGTGCTGTGTGGCGAGGGCGCTAGTTTGGCTGGTGCTGCGGCTGCTGCTGATGCTGGTGTCGGTGTTGCTTGTTGCGGCTGTTGCAAATTAGCCGTTGGCGTTGTGCGTTCCTCCTCCAGCTGCTGTATGCGTCGCTCCAGCGAGCGTACATATTGCAAAGTCTGATCGTTGAGCGTGTGGGCGTTGCGCAAATCCTGCACAGAATTTAGCAGAGCATTAGATAGAAAACACCGAATGAAGTCTATTATGATTTACCACTTACCGGCAATTGCCTTTGTTCCGCATAGTTGCGCAGCGCCGTGATTGTCTCGTCCGCGTTGGTGCTTGAACTCGATCCGTCTCCATCGTCGCGCAGTGCGTTACGCGTGGCCGCGCCGCAGCTAGCGCAGAGCGCATTGGCAGCAACATGCGCACGCTCCTCATCCAGATACAAGCAGAGCTCCTTTAGCTCCAGATTGTCGGTGATTAGCTCCTGCTGCTTGTCATCCAGCTGTCGCAGCTTGTTCTGTAAGAGAGAAAACGTATTTATTAAACGAATGCATTTACATTTTGTATTGAATCCGGCGCAACGCACCTGATAGGCAGCCACCTCTTGACGCATTACACTGGCCGTATATCGTCCAAAGCGCTGCCATTCCCGTGCCAGCTTGCGACCCTTTTGACGATCATCGTCCAGAAAGCAACACAAGTCGCGCAATTCCTGATTGTCATCCAGCAGTCGTTGATTTTGCTCTTTCAACGCGCGGAGCTCATTAACCAGGGACTGCAGAAATGAAAGGTAATAGACGAGCATTAAGCAATAATCGTTTTTCAAGGAACGCCAAATGTTTACCTGCAGCTGACGATTCTGTTCGATTGTCAAGCGTCCGCCGTTGGCCGTTGGAATGCCTGTGGTCACGCTGGACGTGACCGAGGCACTGGGCGACGGATGTTCCTGGTCCTGCTTGCGCACAAACTTCAGCATGTCCTGTTGCGCCTTGCTGGGCTGTTGGTGCTGCTGCTGCTGCTGCTGGTGCAGACGCGCCTGTTGCTGCTGCTGGCGCTGCTGTTGTTGCTGTTGCTTAACAGAATCTGGTATATAGATACTGGTTAACTGTGGTATGTCCGGCGGATATTTCAGCGGCAAATGCGGTTTCAGTATGCCGCCGCCGGAGCTTGGCTGAGGCGGTGGTTGATAACGTGGGGGTATCGAGTGTGCGGGTGCTCTTAAATGAGCTGCTTTAAGAGTTGCCTGCTGCTGCTGCTGTTGTTGTTGCTGCTGCTGCTGTTGTTGCTGTTGCTGTACTTGAAAAAAGCTACGACGCGTCGCTGGTAATTCCTTAGAATTACTAAGCAGTTGTTGTTGCTGCTGCTGTTGTTGCTGCTGTTGCTGTTGCTGCTGTTGTATAGGCAGACGCGATGCTGTGTGTTGCTGCTGCTGCAGCGTTGAGTGTTGCTGATGTATTGTGGCCACAGTTTGCAGCTGATGCGACTGGCCTGCTCCCGCTGCTGCTGTTACGCTTTGGTGCGCTGCTGCTGCTGCTGCTGCTGCTGCTGGCAACAATGAGCGCCTTTGCTGTAATTGCTGCTGTAGTTGTTGCTGCTTACTAATTGTTGTTGTTGTTGCTGTTGCTGCTGTCGTTTTGTGCACAATTTTGTCAGCGCTATTAATTTTTATCAAATTATTGCCTAAATTGTTTGACGTTGCTGTTGTTGTTGTTGCTGTTGCTGCTGCTTCTGCTGTTAATGCCTTTTGCTGCTGTTGTTTCTGTTGTAGTTGTAGGTGCTGCTGCTGTTGTTGTTGTTGCTGTTGTTGTTGCTGCTGCTGCTGCTGTTGATTGCCTGACATTTTAATGTTGGTTCCTTGTTCGTTCACTTATTATTGTTGTTGTTGTTGTTATTGTTTATGTGTTTCAAATGTCTATGCCCTCGGCGCCATGTTGCGTAGTCACTGCAAAAATAAAACGATAAACAAATAAGTAGGAGTGTGCGCTAGATGAGTAGCCGACTAAGAGTTACCCTGTCTTTTATGTATATTGGGAATGTTAAATCTCAAGTGTCTAGAAATTGAAGTTACATGGAATATGAATACTAAACTGGAATACATATTCAGGTAACTCTTTAAACAAATCTATGAGACGCATAGCTCTTCTAGTCACTCATAAACATTCAAAGACTCAAGATTATAATAATAACAGATAGTCTTTTGCACCGAACATAAGCTCAAGCTAATTGACATACCCATTATACCAAATTTTCATGGGTATTCAAACAGACAAAGCATTAGTGAAAACACATACATCAATTGGCTGTATGGAAAAGGAAGGAAACAAAGTAAGCTATAAATCAGAGCATTGTAAAATGTAACTCATGCGACATCAAGGGGCACAGCCGCATGCCGTTTCTATATATAGCATGTCTAATAATTAAACTGTCATTAGGCGGCTCCGCTGATAGAAAGTGAAATGCACATTTTCCGCAACAGTGCTGTCTCGACACACACACACACACACACACACATACCCACATTAATATAAGGCGTCGCAAAATAGTTTTCTTGGCGTATCTTGTGTCAGTGAGCAACTAAATGCAACGAAGCGTCGTAAATTTCGACGACTCCCAACCGATGGAAATGTCACTGTCACTGTTCTTGTTATTGTTGTTGTTGTTGTTGTTGTTGTTACTGTAGCTAAACGACGCCAAATGCATCAGTCTTCATTGTTGGCTAAATGTTGGTTTCCGTTTCTGGTTTGGAAACCGAAAGCCAGCTGACATCCATGCCATGCCGTGACTATCTCTCTCCATCTGCACCTCATTCATCTAGATTTGAAAGTGAAAACATATTCAGCCTCGTGAAGCTATTATTAATGTTCTCTATTTCAATTTTGGATTGGAATATGGACTAGTTTCAAATCGGTGAGCAGGGAGCCACATCTTCGACAGGCTACTCAGCTTCGGGATACGGCATGGGCATTGAGAGTTCCGTCTCTCTTATTTAAAATATAAATGCAACAAATTACATTTTTGAACAGGAACTAATTATTTGATATTTTCACTTCTTATGCAGATAAGTAAGACAAGTAATATTTCCTCAGCATTTTGCTATTGTTATTTTATTGCTCTATTGTGAAAGAGAATTATAATGATCGTACACTCGCAGCTAGAATTCCCACAAGTTGACTCTAGATCCATCCACCCACTCAGCATGGGAAACCGGTTTGGATAATTTAGCGGCCCAACACCTTTTCTAGCACAAAATAAAATAGGCTTTGGACTTGCATTGTCTGAAGCGGAGAGGATGACTAGCTTGAGAGTAAAACCCCCCGAACTTTGCTTTTTTAGTTTTACTAATTACACCAATTTATATATTTTTTACGCCAAGACATTTAAGTAGTTGACAAAAATATATGTACGTACATATATTCCGTCAACTACATAATATACCATACAAAATTTGAACTATATGATATCATTATATCATTCTCGATTGGCTGAGCACAATGAAACATCAATAAATTATTTGTTTGTTTTGTTTTTCACTTGAATACTGAAAATACAAACCCGAGCATTATTCACTATAATATAATATTTTGCATAAGATTCACTCTTTTACTTTTCAGCTTGTTTAGCTTTGACTGTGTAGAAGTAGAGGTTAGCTCTGAAAGGCTGAAGGGGAGGGCAGTCAAGTCGTACCATGTATTGGCATTTCCGACCGTCATCGGCCCCAGTGTCTTCTTCAATGAAATCGACCCCAGGTGCAAAGGCCCAATGCCCAATGCCCAGAGCTGACAGTCCAAGCCCGGGCTGAGGCTCTGGCAGTCTGGTTCAGATTCAGAGTCAGGCCACGACAAGGCAATCAAAAGAAACAAATCTACAGCAACAACAATGAGAGTAATATTTGTGCTCATTAAGCGTAACTGACACACGAAGTTATTGTTGTTGTTGTTTTAAATTTTTGTTTTAGGGTTTCATCATTTCGCAAGTGGCCAAAATCTACGGATTCTGTGTCTGTGTATGCATGTGTATTGGTATGCAAATATATGTATATATGTGTACATATGTTTTCAGGCATGTATTTATGCTTAAATCTGGTGCTGGCTCTGCCGCCCCCTGCTTGTGGCTTCGAGAGCAAGAAGAGAAGTTGAAGTTGAAGCTAAAGTTGTTGGCTTCTCGCATTGTTTTTACGCTTTGCTTTTGGCGAATTTTGTTTTCGTCTGCGGCTTCAGCAATAAGAAAACAACAACAACGACAACGCCAAAGAGCGATTGCTATTATTTTAAGGTAATTCGATGATTTACAGCAGTTGCTTTGTCTTTTGTTAGTAGTTGTCTTTCAGAATGCCCCGGCTCTGGCTCCCTCGACTCGATGTGTGGGGCAATTCGAACCAAACAAAAACAACAGCAAATTTGCAAGCCAATAACAACCAAGAACAAGGCGAGCGGGTGAACACGACTGCACTGTTTACTGCTCAAACTACCAGTGAAAATGTGCTATAGATATTATGGCAATTCGATTCGGGTATTACAAATGTATTCAACGGTTTTACCTATTATCAATATTAGACTGGACAGATGAGCAATGTAGAGAGCGAATATACTCTTGTTCGACTTGTAAATGATGTGCAGCAAAGGGACAGTCAGTCAGACTGGCCGTTCGCAGAGTCTCTCTGTCTGGCCCTGCCTTTCTGTCCGTTCGCTGCATTCTTTTGTTATTTCGCAATGGCAACGATGCCGTTTTCTTCTTTACTGTAATTTTTGCATACCCAGCCAACACAGGGGAAGTGGTTACAAATTGTACCCCACGCCATTTGTGATCGCAGCGTCTTTAACTCTTTTGCTTCGTTTGGCGTTTCACACCTGCCTTTTGTTTTACACGGGCGCGATCCTATTTAACGCAGCTGTTGCTCTGCTTCAGGAACTGTGTGTCCATATAAACCTGACAAGTTGATAGCCAAAATGGCTTGTGTGAAGGGCGCAAAGGGAGCCAGCCCTATCTATGATATGCCGCAGCTGTTGTGTATTATTTGTATTATAAAATTTATAGCCATGCACAATTTACAGCATGCACAGTTTTCTCGGCTGTCAAAGGAACAACAGACGAGCTTGAGCAGCGCTTTCGATGCCATTCTCTCCTGTCGCCGGCAACAGCAATATGTGAGGGCACAGCACCAACCAGCGGGCTGGCGCTTTCACCTTTCCAGTGCTAACAATCACTTGCACACTTGCTCAGCGCTTGCCACACAAATCGCTTTATTATTAATTGCTTGCCGTTGAGTGAGTGCTATAGCAGGTGCCAAAGGTTAAAGAGAGAAACATTAACGAAAACTTGTTTTATTATTTTTTTGAAAACAACTAATGCCTTGTGATTTCTTGCTACATGTCATATGTTCTCGCTCATACCCAAGCTGTTCAGATTTCCACACATCATTAAGATAAGTTTGCTTCACTCGTTACTAGACTTTCATAATACCATCAGTTTCTTGGCTGATATTCCCAGTACTGATGGGTCTTTACACTATTTGTAATGGTAAATCATATTGCTGCTGGTACTTAAATACATTTGCATATATGATTTTACGAATACATACATATAAAAAAAAAAATATATATATATAAATATAAATGTATATATAAATATAATATAAATATAAATATAAATATAAATATAAATATAAATATAAATATAAATAT